CCCCCCCACGCCCACCCGTGTGAGCAGAAGCAGGAGATGAGCCCACAGGGCGAGGCCCCGGTCAGGCCCTATTTGATCAAAATTCTTTGTCGGGCACAGGAGGGTGTCCGGTTGCTGTTCTTCTGAAGAGAATTTAGTGGCTCTAATAACAGAACATAAGCATCAAGGGCCCCGGAGTTGTTGGCTTTTTTTCACGCATTTCCCAACATTCCGTTCTATCGCTTTCTCCCGTCATTTTCACAGCAGAGAAAAGCCAAGTGGACGCGCCTGCAGGAAAGAAGTTTGATCAAACAGAAGGAGGAGCCGCCCCGGCCGTTCCCGAGGGGACCCCACTGCCCAGCTCGTCGTATTGCTTTTAGGGATCATTTCCCAAACAGAAGGGACCTGTCGCGGCCACAGGCAACCGGGGGGTGGGGGTGGGGGGGTCCCCAGGTCATTGAAACAGTCCTAGCTGAGCACTGGCAGAGGTATTGAGTCTCTGAGGAGTATCTCTACCCAATAAATTATTACTCTTATACACGGAACATTATGAACTTAGGATTCCCTTTGTAAGCCATTGTATAGGTTCTGCACGTTTGTGCTTCTTTTGAGTATAAAAATAGGTCTCCTTTAAAATTCTGCGTAAGCTCACTAAAAAACTACTTGTTTGTGAAATTCTCTTATAAACTCACTGCATCCACATGTAACAGATACAACTAATTAGGCAGCTAATTGATATAGGTAGTGTTTAAAAAAAATGCTCCAAGGGGGGAAGGGGGGAGAATGAAGCCATGTTAGGAGTTAAGAAGAAAGCAGTACAATGGACGAGAACTGAGTTTAATGGACGAGAACTGAGTTTAATCATCTTGTTCCCACTTGACTGTGATTGGATCCCTGGGCTCCGTGGAAGGGGACCCGGGAAAGGTGAGCTGCTATGGAAGAGAGAATCCGCCAGGTCACCAAACGAAAGGGGGTACGACAGAACCAACCAGTCGACGGCGTGCACAGCGAGGAAGAACCAGTCGTCAACAGAAGCCAAACCTCCGAGAAGCACGTGCCAGGGTCGGTCCGCGGCGACGGTTGCTCTGGGAACGGGGACATTCCTGCGCGGGGATGCGTAAGGCTCAGCCTCGGCTCCTGCACAGGCCGAGGCTGCACGAAGGGTGTCTGAGACGGACATTCCTGATGGACGTTTTACAAAATTTGGCCCTTAGAATAACTGAGAAATTTCCTGAAAGGATCGTCCCTGAAACTGTAATACAGAAAGTGTCTCATTGAACTGGTAGAACTGACAGCGCAGTGAGCTATTTTTCGCTGTCATCCTACCGTAAGAAAAAAAGCAGAAATATATCCGTCCCAGAAATCTGTGAAAAGCAGGGAACCGCACCGTGAAAGCGTAGAAAGAGTCTAGAAATGGGAGAGTCCAAGAAAAAGCTCTCTCCAAAATGTCCACAAAGATACATATGCCCGTTAGAGGGAAAAGTAAGAATATACACACCATCAATCACATCCGAGAATAAAAAAGCTAAGATTGATAGAATATATTTATATTGAGTGACTACTCTAAAATAGAGCAACTTATTGGCTTCATTTCTCAGATTCCTTGGGCAAGTCATGCACATCCCGAAGTGATCAGCACCTGCGAGTTCCTTGTACCGGATCAGGGGTCCCGCTCCCAGAGGAGAGAAAAACAAGCCTGGCCTTTTGAGTCCTTTACTTTCTAAAAGAAAAAGCCAACCGGGCAAAACCCCACCAAGCCACCCTGCTGCACGCACCCCAGCACCGCTAATCCCCGCCCCTTGATTAACACGAAAAAGGAGCCACCCCTGCCCAGAGGGCTGACTTTTTCCTCCTAAAAGACGGCGCTCTGCCCTGTGACTGCAGCCATTCCTCACACTCATCATATGCGCACAGCAGGTTAAACACACGGCCTGTCCTTGGCATTGCTTGTGTGTGTGTGTTTGATAAAAGGGATGCGTGTCGGAGTGTAAGAATGGAAGATCCTCCCCAGAGTTTAGAGGGTTAGTAAGAGGACGCTGGTCCAAGTTCTGGGAGATGGAAATCGAAGGCAAATGGCGTCATCAGAGGCTGTGAACGAGTTGCCAACAGCAGGGCATCCCCTGAGCTGGGCGGCCCGAGCGCCACCCCACCCCACCCCACCCCACGCCACCATTTTTAGGGTTCCTGCCAATGCTTAGTTAAGAGTAAGACTTATTTAAGAGACGGAAAGAAATGCAGTTAAGCTTTTATTGCAGACGATCCAGTGGCAAGAACACCGTGGGCCTTGTACCACGCGGTGGACAGGAATCCATTAAGACCGCCTGTCGCTGCCTCCAGCCCGTGTGAGCGCGCACGGCAGCGCGGCCCCGAGTCCCACCAGGGCCTTAGGTTAGATCGCCGACCACCACCTGATTTCCTCGTTTACTATCAAGAAATTCGGCGACATAGCTTTCCTAAAAAAAGAAAGAAGTCAAAACTGTTTCCATTCTGCGGCCAGATTAAGCGGTGATGCTAGTTTGCATAAAGTGTTTGCCCCTCCGCGCGTCCTGCTGGAATCTCGGGTCCTCCCCGAGGAGGGAGCGCGGAGAGCGCGCGCGCATCGGTGCAGTCGCCGCAGAAGCCGGCGG